TAGAAATTCAGAGTACTGATGGATGCTGTCGGAAACAATGCCAGCAAATGGGAAAAATACGAGCCAGTTGAACCAAAACTGGACACTTTCTCCGAATGGATCGAAGATGATCGTTTATGCATTTTAAAGCGCATTCAAAATCTACGATGAACCATGCGTTTCAGACCTTTCCAAAAAGCCAGAGGTTGTGGATGCTTTATCCTCCATTCACGACAAGTATGTTGTTGTTCAAGCAGACAAAGCCTCAAATAATATTGTTGTAGATGCACAAACCATTATCTAGAATGTCTCACTAAGGACTTGGAATTCATAGCAAAACTAGGAATTCAACATATAACCCTACATCAATCACGAAAGAAGAGATTTTAGAAAATCACAAATCCGCCCTTCTCTCCTTTGGTATAATCATAAAAAAACACGATGAAATCTCCAATCTTTATATTGGATACCTATACTTCACGGAAATCCTTTAAAGAACAATATAAACCCAGGCCGTCAAGACGTTACCATTCAATCAGCGGTGTCAATCAGATGTGGATTCTTGGAAATTCTAAAAAGATCTACTCGAAAATCTTCAATCACAATCTTTACAATATTGCAGTAGTATCAAGATCTTTGATTTTCCTACGCTTTACACTGCCATTCTCTATTGCTCAATTGAAAGATAGACTAATTCATCTCATTAAATAGAGCTTTATTCACAAAAATGAGAAACGTAGATATAAATTACTTGGTTTTAGGTCACTTTTTGAAGAACCATACTGTTTCCCACAACAAAATTTTCGAAATGCTTGACTTTAAATCGACAAAATATTTGTTGAGTTTGGTGGAATGATATTTCAACAGACAATCTGTATTCCAATGGGTGCTAATTGTGCACCACTACTGACCGACTTGTTTTTGTACTGATAGAAACCTTCTAAAGACAAAAAGAAAAAGCATCTTGCAAAGTTCTTTTATTTTACTTTCAGATATATTGATAATGTTCTATCACTCAATTACCCACATTTTAATGAGTGTCTACATCTCATATATCCCAGTGATTTCAAAAATTAAAGATGCTTTTTCTTGATATTGACACAGATTGACGTCTTTAAACACTAGTCTATGACAACCGTGATGATTTCAATTTTTCAATTGTTAACTTCCCATTTCTCAGCAGTAACATACCCTTTGCCGCATCGTATGGCGTTTCCATACTTCAATTAATACGTTACGCCCGTGCATGTTTACACAATACGGAATTCATTAACAGGGGTGTGTTCCTTACTCATCCGATACGATGTGTCGGTGTCTGCACTCACTAGAGACATTTGTTGTAAGTCTTAGATCTTTAGATACCGGTATGGTCGTCTGATCTGTTATTTTACCGATTGTGTTTTATTCCCGATTGTGACATTTTTATCAAGTGGGAAATCGCATGGCTTGTGATGTATGCATAGCAGGAGACGCTTACCTTGTCGACACACCCGATCTGGCTCCTTTAAGAATTGATGCGATTCCCTAAGTTTCTGTTTGTTACCTCATCGATTTACGAGATTTGAACATTGGTAAACTACTGTCCTTTTTATTTATAGAGAATGCACATCTCTAGTATAATGACATTTGTAACAGAATAGACACGTCTCAGGTATAATGACACCTATGGCATAGTAGACAAGTCTAAAGTACAATTACATCTCTTACAGAGTAGACAGGTATTTAACTAAATGACATCTTTGATATAATTGGTATGTTTCTAGTAAAGTAACATCTGTGACAGAGTGGCAATAATACCACATCTCCTTATTTTATATCGTCACTGGTAAAATGACGTGTATGACACAGTAAAAGGGTCTATAGTATAATGACATAACATAAGAAACTAAGACACCATAAGTATCCACAGATTTGTGATAGCTACTGTAGAAGAAGGTCGTTTAGAAATTTTCAGGATAAGTCCTTACACATCTTTTTGTACTTTATAGGTTTTAATTAAATATGTCGTCATACATGTATGATCACATGAATTGAAAAGATGTCGTGTTTTAAATATTTCGTAGCTATGGCCCTTTTTACAATATACGAACTTTGGGATACTTTGCAATAATAAATGTGTTAATCGTCTCATGATTTAATTTGTCCCATTAATAAGAGATATATGAATTAAACGCATAATTAGGATAATAGTTTATCCTTTTTGCTCTTGCTATATGTTTATTCAATTTGTCAGGGTATGGGAAAACTAATTGGTCATAACATTTATGTCTTATGTTATGAATGTTTAAATGAATATTGATGTAATCACCTAATGCAACCTAAACCATACAATATTTACTAATTTAAAGTTAAAAAGTCGAACACTACATGTATCTTTTTAAATTTAATTGTCTAATTCAAGGCAATTTTAAAGGTCTCATACCATATGATAATTATATATCTGGATTTGGCTATACTTTTTGTCCTAATTTGCTTTGTCAGCTTTAAAATTTAATTTAATGAATGGATTTTCAATTATTTTGACCTCGAACATCCAAATGCGCAACTCGTGAAGTAAAGTTGGTACCGTTAATGATATTCTGTAGGTGTAAATTCAATACCAGACTAGAATTAAATAGAAATAAATTACTTTTCCACTTTATTGGTTTTGTATATACCTATCTCACCAGCTATAGATGTTGATAAGAGTTTTTTTTCTATACGAATTTGCATTCTGGCCGTATTTGACAGGGTATGCGACTGCATAGAAATGCTTCAACGCAAGATTTTGAATTTCTTTTACCAGAATACAAGTCATCTATATAAACAGGAACAACGGCAAAGATTGTAAATTTTTCTTTGCATTTTGTTATTACCCAAAACATCAGGAAAATTCAAATCGCAATCAAATTAACTGGAATTTCAAATGTTTATCTTTAGAATTAGCATTGTTAGCTGATTCAGTTTTTTCCTTCTGCGATCAATAACGTCTTCTTTTGTGAACGTTGTTGTCCGTTGTGCTTTGACATATTTGAAATTTTCGTATTTTTATTTTAGGGTGTGTAATTGGTTTTTATCAAACCTTTCTTGATTCTGAAAATTAGTTGAGCATGTGCGAGACAGTTCACATTTAAACAGCATTAGTTTACGGATGTTAAATCTTATAAATAGATTAATAACATACAAATCATGGTAACAAACAAAAGCTTAGTCAAATGCATCAACTCCAAAACAAACGAGACCGGGTGCGTCGACAGAGTGAGCGTTTCCTGCAATGCATACATCATCCATTCAAAACAGTTTAAACGCGGGCCCTGTTTTTTTTTTTTTAATTTATGCAACTACAATATCATTTTTAAAAAGAGATGCGAAGATACCAAAGGGATAGTCAAATTCATACAACAGTCTACAAAACACAAAATCGAAGGCTAAAGAACGGGCAACATGAATCTCACCCAAACCGGGGATGAAAGGGTTGATTGGTTTTGATATTTTAGGAATTTACCCTTTTGAAAAATGCACGTAAAAATAAGGGTTTCGTAGATTTTCAATTGTGATTTTTAGAAATTCCGTCCTTAAATGTGTTTACATTATTGGTGTGAAATTCATTTTATTTATGTAGGAATCGGAGGTGCGATGGGGACGCTGAAGTGCGATGGTCACGCTGAAGTGCGATGGTCTACGCCGAAGTGCGATGGTCCTTTCGCTGAAGCGCGATGGTTTTGCATGACGTTTGGATATTGTGACGTTTTTAAATAGTTATTAAACTAAATGGATTCACAGGCAGGAGGATAAGATTTGTAGATGAAGGTTTCATGCGTACAAAGGAAACAGAATGAAACGAACGATTCAAGTCCCGAACAGTTTTGATCATTAGAGGTGGAGATTACAAACATATGTAAAACTAAGTCAGACAGCAAACCATGGGGAACAAGGCTGCTAAAAGATGATCTTGGTCTTCAGATGGACTAACCAGTGTTCGGAAACATGTATAATGTATGCCGCAAACGATTTGTACGACAAATAAAATGTCTTGATCTTAATATTAATTTTGACTTCTCTTCAAGTATACATCACATGATTTTGTGTGGACAACTTAATGATAAAAGGAACGGTAATATTGTTTTGAAATGTTACCCCTGTCACTTGGAAATTTGATGGTCGCAAATGCAGATTTACCTGGTCTATTCTATATTTACGAACGTCAAACTTAGAACTGAATAAGGCAACTCTTCAAATACACTGTCCTTATTCGTTTTCTAATGCATTACAATACAAATCCGGCTAATCTCGAAAAAAATATTTCGGTGCAACAACGTCATGTCAAAACTTTCACTTTGAAGGTTATTCCGTAACTTGTAGGATTAAAGTTTCTCATTAAAATGGTGTTATTGGTATAAGTAGTGTTTAATTTTCGATTGTATTACACTTATTGGACCCGTTGATACCAGAAATTCAACATGACGGCGCACTCCTAATTATTGCGAGTGAAACCCCCTTTTTTAAGTTTAAAACTTATGGTGAGAGCAGAAATTTAAACTGAAAGAATATTTTCTGAAAAATTCATTAAACCAATTTTCATTTAATAAATTTTGTGATAAAAACTAATAATGGTTTTAGTAATATATATAGCGAACTTCTGTGAAGAAATTAATTAGTTTGACCGTTAATGAACCGACGGACAGATATGTCGTAAATAAGAAAGTCTTAATATGTATACTGACAGATTATCACATTTTGTTTAACTAGGCTTTAGTGCTCATATCTTAACATTTATTATAAACCCGACATAGCAGCATATAATTTCAATAAGTGGACTTAAAGAAAGAAGTTTATATTGTTTATCACAATAAGGATTAGAGAAAATAAGTAAACAGATTTTCTCCATAACACTTATAAATATTAGTATCTACTAAGTCCATCGTATATAATGACCCCATTTAAAAATTATCGCTTGTGATAAGTGATTATTATATACCACCCCGTGTCGTAAAAACACTAACGGTTGGTTTTGACTATGGACAAAGTAATTAGATAATGATGAGATGACGTCAGGACCTTAGAGCCATAAATTGTTTTCCTGGATTCATTTGATTATAATTACAAGGAACTTGAACATTAACGGAATAATATCTGACGATTCTATCGGCTACTTAAAGACACTTGCCTATATTTTACACGTGATAATTGAAGGCACAGTTATGACGTTATAGTGGATACAAGTTAATTAAGGTAAATATATACTAACTGTACTCAGCTTTTTAAATTCGGTCACTAGTAAATCTTTATGTATAACAGGTATCAAAGATAGTAGGGCAATATTTTGTTTTCATTTATCGCATATGTAATTTGTTCGTGTACTTGATCTAAAGGATCAAATGAAGTTCTTTCTGCAGTTACTTCTAAACATTTCCAGTTCAATATATGTGGATCATAATAATGAAACAAAAGTAAGTTAACATTGACGAACATTAAACATGTATATGACATACGAACATTAAACATGTATATGACATATGAACATTAAACATGTATATGACATATGAACATTAAACAAATATATGATATATGAACATTAAACATATATATGACATACGCAGATGCCAAAATAAACAGAACCATTGTAATTCTATGATATTGAAAACGTTGAACTTTCTGTTTGAAAAAAATGAAAACAACACGTTTTTAATTTCATGCGTTCGAACCTATCTTTGATTGGTTTGATAAGAGCAAAATGAAATGTCAATATTGTCTTCTGCTGACAAATAAATCTGAAGATAAAATATGTTTTTCTCATTGTTGAAGGCCGTACCACGGTTGCCTATGATTGTTTTACATCCACTTTATTTGAACTTTGGTGGATAGTTGTCTCATTGGCAATCATACTTCATCTCCTTATTTTTATATTATCGTATCTCGTATGAACTGATCAAACATATATTATATACTTATATATGTAGCCAACCTGTATGAGTGGGCTACAGTCTGTGGGCAGTTAGGGCACAACATTACATTCTTAGAACTAGTAAGGAAAATGAACCCTTATGACACGGACAGTAGAAGAGGTGAATCTGACCTAATGTTTTATTAACTTATTGACCCTAGATAAATAGTTAACAAACACTTAAATTTAAAATTGCCCTTACTTTGAAGAACATAACTTATCCATCAGATAAATTGATTAACTATCACAAACCAAACTATCACCTTATCTTTATATGTATATCTATTGTAATACAACACCTCTAAAGATCTTACATTTGTAGTAGCAGTTGAACTTTTAATTTCTTTACATTTAATTCTTCAATCCTGAATGACATTTCATAAAAAAAGTGCATATAATCTTAAGTATGTCATTTTTACTTTTATCAAAAATAATTGGGAAAGAGGATATGCATATCTGCTTTCAGGAAGATAAACAAATATTTGGTTAGGAACCGAACAACATTGATTTTAACATAAAGGACTCAAATGAGAACATTGTTGAGGGAGTGGTTCTTTTAATAGATTATTTAACCCATTTATTACCGCATAGATAATGTACTTTCTTTAAATTCAGAAAACTATAACTAGTGCTGATTTGATTCAATGCTATAGAGAATCTCAGATATGCTTTATCAGTATTAAAGTGCATCGCCCTGTATATCAATATAATACTTTAAATATGACATTTAAAAATTTGAAGGTTCCAAAGAAGGGAGAAAAGAAGATTAATTTATCCTTCAAATTTACTTTGTCCTCTCACTGTATATTCCAATGTTTGGTTACTATGTAGATCTCACTGCATATTCCAATGTTTGGTTACTATGTAGATCTCACTGTATATTCCAATGTTTGGTTACTATGTAGATCTCTTAAATCCAACTGGTTATACAAAATACAACACTGGCAGCTAGGTTTGCTTTTGATGTTGACTTGTAGCTGGAAAATAACTGTGAATGTCGGCTAAGAAAAGAATAAATTACTTCAATTTTCTAATATCTATTTGTTTGAAGCAACATTCAAACGGCAGCTCCATTTGAAGTATGTGTCTCGCAGTTTATACGACATTTTATGACTTGCTATATCTAACAGGATTTTCTTCGTAGGAGGTTGCTGCTTACAAGAAAGCTATTGCAAAGATGATTGAAAGTTCAACCCTCTCTTCGAAAGGTTTACGGACGCGATCATGATTTGGTTGCGGAATTCCTTTGTCTCTCTTGACCCCCGATATATTTCATTTGTCATAGCTACAGTGACTTCTTCTTTTTCCTTAAAAAGTGAAATCACCGAATGCGTCTTTCACTGCATTTTTTTTTCTTTTAATGAGCAACAGGAAGGGTGACATTGAAGGAACAACTGCTAACCCCTTCGAAACACATGTGCTCACCACTAGTTTTGGTCAGAGTAATGCTGCTAAACATTTGTTGAATATTATTTTACTGCACCAACTGCACTTTTCGACAATTCATATCTCCTCAGTGATGCCCGAGGCCAAATTATTTGAAAATCCAAATTTAATTTGTAAAACGAAGAGCTTATAAACCAAATGGACAAAAGTATAGCCAAAACCGGGCAAGGAATCAAAGCTTTGCATGAGGGAGATATATTCCTTAATTCAAAATTTTTTCCATTTCCAAAATTTTGTAAAAGCAAATTTTGATAACACAATATCCGTATTTATGTGCTGTACCGAAATAATGGCAACTGGGCTGGTGATACCAGTGGGAACTAACAGTCCACCAGCAGAGGTATCGATGTTACAGAAAACGCGAAGAAAGAAGGATTCTAGTTGCATCAACTGTTCAGATTTTCACCTTCTGTTTCCCAGTTAGTTTAAATTACATGTAATAACTAATATTTTGCATCATTTCGTCTGGTTTTATGGTCATGGCCTTGTCTGTCGTCCTATGATTTCTAAGTTTTGAAAGCTCTTTTAGTATATTCTGATTAAAAGAAGTATAGTTAATATGGTTGAACAAAATTGATGTTACTATCTATATTCAAGTCCTTCTTGTACTTTGTGGATATGCTGAATATTTTCAATTCTGTTTCTCTGAGTAGATTCAGCCATGATGATCGTTCTCATCCGTTACATACATTGAATCTTGTTCACCTATCATATACCATTTAAATAAAACTTTATACATTTTGTGCATCCGAAGTACTTTTCTGGATTTACAGTGTGCCTATTGTTTTAGTTTGTTCGGAGTTGTGGCGTTGATGTTATCTGTTTATTCGACTTATGGTTTTTGAATATCCCCGGATACCTTCTCCCTGTTGAAGTCATATTGACAAGAACAAGATATGCACCAGTTGGTAGAACAGATAAATAGATGGGATATTTCACTACACCGAAAAATGAGAGCCTGATTTGATTGACAGGGTAAGAAACAGAGCATCTACAACTAAATCTAAATGTTCAAACATCAAATCCAGTAAAACAAATCTGTTAAAAAAAGTTACTCTTATAGAGGAAATGTTGTCAACTCTCCACCAGAGACCATGTAACGTAGACGTTAGCAAATATAGGTCACCATACGGTTTTCAACAATGAGTAAAACCCATACTCCATAGCAAGTTATTGGAGGCCTCGATGTAGTGTAAAGATGTCATTAGTAGTCAGAGAGAAAAACATGATCTTCTTCAATGCCAAAATATAGGTATCGACTGAAGGTATGGCCGTGAGTGTTCATAGTTGTACAGCAATAATATTAATATTTTAGTTTGGTTTTAATGTATTGATAACAATAGTAATGTTTTAGATTTCAATGAACGTAATCTTTGTAGTACTGGTAAATTATTAAGGCAAGGATTTCGCTACCACAAATTACTGAAATTCTTTACTAAATTCTTCCATAGATACAAATATTTGGTTTGGAAGTTTGGCTGTATTGCAAACGGGATAGAACATCTAAGTTTTACGGTGATATTGTTTACCGATCCCATAAATTTAGATACCATCCGGGTAAACTTATATGCCCGTCAGTGGTTGTCTTTCTTATATGAATATCATAGCTGGTTTTCGTTTATTGTTTTGTGCGTAAATTAGGCCGTTGATTTTCTCGTTTGAGTTGTTTTACATTTTGTTATTTCGAGGCCTTTTGTAGCTTACTATGCGGCATGGGTTTTTTCTCATTGTTGAAGGCTGTACCGTGACCTATAGTTGTTTTAACATCCTCGTTATGTGATCTCTGGTGGACAGTTGTATAATTGACAATAATACCACATCTTCTAATTTTCATCTAAGGGGATTGGTATTTATCCGCTGAAAGGTTAGTTAAACTGAAATATATTCCTGTTTATGAAACTTAGTTGACTATTTTTCCAATCTGTCTTAAAGAATAGTATGAGAACTAATTGTGTAAAAAGGCAGAAAAGTAAATTCTTATTATACTATTGTACCCGGATTTAATGTTAAGTTGTATGTACATTTGTATTCTACTAGATATTATCCATATCTGATTCATATCGCGTCAGAAGAGAAGCTCGTGTCACAGTTGCAATGAATCCTGTTCTTATTGTTGACACAACAGATAATCATTTTGAAAGATGTTTCCTATAGCATTTGGCAGACTAAATAAGATTGCTAGTTATGAAACTTTTATTATCTAATTTGGATATCCTGTAGAATAAAGGAAGATCTAGCTTTTCCTCTTTGATTGGAATTCTAAAGAACTTCGTCTTCAGCAAGTGCCGGTTTCCAAGTAAATTGTCAACTCATTACATCCTTATCAAGTAGTTTACTTAATGTAATTTACAAACAAACCGATAGTGTATGGTTTTATTTCTGTAGGGGCACGGAAATAGAGTAGATAATGGTTAAGCAACAATCGAGGTTTTGAAGACAGATGCAGCATGAGTTTTCTTAATTTTTAAAAATTTTTCTATTTGAATTAACAACTTCACAGCTTTAACCCATCTAAAATGAGCATACTTTTTTTTAAGGTTTTGTCCATTTTCTTGCACAATCCGTCATTGAATTTATAAGTATTTGAAAGTAGTGTTTCCTGTTTTAAGATTATATAAGGGTCGACCTCTTGGCTATCTCATTTTGTACAGAAGTGCTGTTTACGTTCCCAAGGTCATTAGTTATAATATGGCCAACATAGTTAAATGATGTTATGTAGGAATGCAGAATTCTTATAGAGCTGAAGTCGTCAATTTTGAGATCTATGATAGGATATATCCAAGATCATCGAAGTCAATATATCGTTTTTTTTAACGATCAGATTTTTAGTTTTGAAAGTACTCCATCATCGCGCATTCTGATTGACATGCTTGGTATAGGTTGCACTTTGTAAATATAGTTGATTCACAAACCACGCCTCTTTTGAGCAGATACTTTACATTCAATATTTTATTTTGATTACCTACTGGTTCTCACTATGATCACCATGTTTATAGTCTTGAAACACAACTTGATAATTTTACCAGTAATTATTCAGTTGGAGAGCAGTAAAATAAATTTTCAGCGAAACTCAAAATAAAAGTAGGGTACTAAAAATTGAAAAAAAGCTTTAAAACCAGAGGAATTGTAAGCATATCAAAATTGAAAAATGCTGCACAAACCTATGTTGTGGGCTTGGCCAAAAAGTCGTGCATGCGAATTTTCCATTCTAGTATATGATTTTTAAAGATACTTGATTGTAAAAGGGACACAGTTTTAGGCGTAAAAGCAGTACCTATGGGAAATCGCATTGTCTAGTTTCACGCAAGTGTAACCTATAAAGCTGGTATACGCGCGTAAACGTCACTTCCTTTGGGTGTACTGAATCGCTGCAACATTTAGCTATTCTAAGAAGAATAACCGTGGTTTATATCTCCATTGGTTCAAAATTAATTTTGTGGAAGGAGATGTGTATATATATACCAATGAGATAGCAACCTACTTGCACTGACAAAAAAAACTATAAGAAATCAAGAGGTCAATATAAGTGTTTCTGCACATTATGTTAATCGTACCAAGTTTAGAATATATTATCAACGATATGTCATCAATACGGAATTCACAGAAACAATGTTCAGTCATATAACAGAAGACAGATATGACAGACACATGCACATGCAGCGCGGATAACCTAGATTTCTTAGAACTATACTTTTTGCTTTTTAATTAACAAAAGTTATATAAAAGTATGTACAATAAAAACCAATGCAAACACTAAACTCGATAATACAATCCAAATAGATCAATTGATACAAGAGGACTTCTATCAGTACACACTTGAAAAAACACATGCACGGTTATGTTCAAATTTCATTGTAGAATAATATTTAAGTTTAATCATACTAAAATATTAATATTTGCTACGCATTGTTTTTGTCATGACATACGATCTCGTCAAATAACAATTAAAACAAAATATTCAGGTGAATTAAGTTGACTCTCATACTTTTACAACCCCTTTTTATAAAGCATAAATAATGAATGAACAAAATCCTTCGAAGCGTGTCTCGGTCGATACACTCACTCTGGATATAAATATCCAAACATTCAGTCCTATTTTATGAATGAATTCGTTTCTCGCCCATGGATATGTCATGGACTTTTAATTAATTAATTGTGACTTGTGTATTAAACCATTTACGTCTGTAAATAAGCAGTTAACAATAGTTTTTATTTATATAGACAGGATTATAAGGAGGAATAAAAGATGCCAACATAGACTCTACACAAAGCTTAAATGGTAAGTAATGACAAAAACACACATTTTACCAAATAATCTAAATATAGCAAGAAAACTAACAATATTTGTTTATAGAAAAGTTAAACTTAGAACTTGAAATGAAAGAACATAGGCATTTGCTATTTCAGTAGTGAAAAAAAAGACATTAAACCTTGCAGCATCAAAAGCCCTTAGCAAACACAAGTAGTTTATTATACCAATCATGTACCCACAGGGGGCAATAACAAATTATCATAACATACAACATATACAACATAATACAATGTATAGGATACAACTGGTTATTGGTCGAGCAAAGTTATTGCTTTTATTCAGCTTAAGATGTATATAGACTCTGTTCGCGACAAGTTAAAAGAAATGTACAATTAATTCATGCAGAAGTTTTTCGTACAGAAAGATTAGAGTTAATCGAACTTGAGGTTTTCTTTTATTTAGCATTGTAAATGTTTGTGCATAGTAATGAAATGAAAAGTAACTTTAAAAGTCAGTATAAGCACTTGATTATTTATACCATGCGATCATCACGGGTAGCCTTAACAGTTAACGTCACACTTAATAGTCAACAAGTTACTCCGATTACAGACGATAATGTCAGTGCCCTAATATTAAGGCAAATATTTATCACATACTTTACTCTTCAAATGTCTCTTTTGGAGGAGGGGTAGTTGTCAGTATAAAGTTATAACGGCACGTAAGACATAATCAATTATTTCTACAGGACTTTACACTATTTCCAGTGAACATATTCTAAATTTGCATGGAACTACAATAATTGCACTCTACAATTGCATCTATCAAAGAGTAAGTCGGATGCGTTTAATCACTACTTACTTTATAATTTGAGAATTTTAATATGGAACATGTGTAGCAAATAGTTGGACAAAGCATTCACAAGCATTATTCATACATCATTTGACCTCCCATTTAGTAATAGCCTATTAGTACTAGTAATTGATTATTGGTCCAAAGGTCAAATGTTATGGCATCACACTGACCAATAAATTCCGCATGTTTATAGGTTCTATAATTAGTCGGAGCAGTAAATTTTTTGATATGGTTTTTCATTCTGGAAATTTAAAAAAAAAGTGCCTCACTTACGAACTACCGTCAGCTCAATAAGTACAAAACATGTTTTAGTTTTACAGAACAGAAATAACCAACATATATCCGTAATGACAAAAAAAAAAAAAAACGAAAACAGTTGATACGAGATATTTTGAAGATTTTTTTTTATCAATTACTGGTGTATAATTTTTCTTCATTATAAAACCACTGACATGTTTAACGAGTCAGCTAGCTGTCTACAATGTTAACTGGTCAGCTAGCTGTCTACAATGTTAACTGGTCAGCTAGCTGTCTACAATGTTAACTGGTCAGCTATCTGTCTACAATATTAACAGGTCAGCTAGCTGTCTACAATGTTTAACTGGTCAGCTATCTGTCTACAATGTTAATTGGTCAACTATCTGTCTACAATGTTAACAGGTCAGCTAGCTGTCTAAAATGTTAACTGGTGGACTACCTGTCTACAATGTTAACTGGTCAGCTAGATGTCTACAATGTTAACAGGTCAGCTAGCTGTCTAAAATGTTAACTGGTCAGCTAGATGTCTTCAATGTTAACAGGTCAGCTAGATGTCTACAATGTTAACAAGTCAGCTAGCTGTCTAAAATGTTAATTGGTCAGCTAGCTGTCTACAATGTTAACTGGTCAGCTATCTGTCTACAATGTTAACTGATAAGCTACCTGTCTACAATGTTAACTGGAGATACCTGTCTACAGTGTTAACTGGTGGACTACCTGTCTACAATGTTAACTGGTCAGCTAGCTCTCTACAATGTTAGCTGGTCAGCTACCTTTCTACAATGTTAACTGGTCAGCTATCTGCCTATAATGTTAATTGGAGATACCTGTCTACAGTGTTAACTGGTGGACTGCCTGTCTACAATGTTAACTGGTGAATTAGCCGTCTACAATGTTAATGAGAAACGTTAACAGGTCAGCTCGCTGTCTACAATACTAACTTATTAGCTAGCTTTCTACAATATTAACAGGTCAGCGAGCTGCCTACAATTCTAACTAGTCAGATAGCTGACTACAAGGTTAACAAGTCAGCTATTTGTCTACAATGTTAACTGGTCAGCTAGATGCCTACAATGTTAACTGGTCAGCTATTGGCCTACAATGTTAACAGGTCAGATAATTATAACTGCTTTCAATTCTAAATGGTCAGATAGCTGCCTACAATGTTAGCAGGTCACTTTACTGCCTTCAGTGTTAATCGGAAATGTTTAACTGGTCAGCTAACTGACTTTAATGTTGACTAGAAAAAATCTTTATAAGTCTCATTGGTTTTTTAATGTGATAAAATTTTGAACACCATAGATGCTTAACGTTCAAAATTCTGCTTGCCCAATATTCATGTGTCTTTCTCTGTTGTGTAATTCTGCTTAACCAATATTCATGTGTCTTTCTCTGTTGTGTAATTCTGCATACCCAATGTTCCAGTGTCTTTCTCTGTTGTGTAATTCTGCATACCCAATGTTCCAGTGTCTTTCTCTGTTGTGTAATTCTGCATACCCAATGTTCCAGTGTCTTTCTCTTCTCTGTGGGGTTAACGTTCTACATACCCAATGTTTCAGTGTCTTTCTCTGTTGTGTAGAAGTTAACGTTCTACATACCCAATGTTCAAGTGTCTTAATTGATGTGTAGAGGTTAACATTCTGCATACCCAATGTTCCATTGTCTTTCTCTGTTGTAAAGTAGTTAACTTTCTGCATACCCTATGTTCCAGTGTCTTTCTTTGTTGTGTAGAGGTTAACTTTCTGCATACCCAATGTTCCATTGTCTTTCTCTGTTGTATAGTAGTTATCTTTCTGCATACCCTATGTTCCAGAGTCTTTCTCTGTGGTGTAGAGGTTAACTTTCTGCATACCCAATGTTCCAGTGTCTTTCTCTGTTGTGTCGAGGTTAACTTTCTGCATACCCAATGTTCCAGTGTTTTTCTCTGTTGTGTAGAGGTTAACTTTCTTCATACTCAATGTTCTAGTGTCTTTCTCTGTTGTGTAGAGGTCAACTTTCTGCATACCCAATGTTCCAGTGTCTTTCTCTGTTGTGTAGAGGTCAACTTTCTGCATACCCAATGTTCCAGTGTCTTTCTCTGTTGTGTAGAGGTCAACTTTCTGCAAACCCAATGTTCCAGTGTCTTTCTCTGTTGCGTAGTGGTTAACTTTCTGCATACCCAATGTTCCAGTGTCTTTCTCTGTTGTGTAGAGGTTAACTTTCTGCATACCCAATGTTCCAGTGTCTTTCTCTGTTGTGAAGAGGTTAACTTTCTGCATACCCAATGTTTCAGTGTCTTTCTCTGTTGTATAGTAGTTAATTTTCTGCATACCCAATGTTCCAGTGTCTTTCTTTGTTGTGTAGAGGTTAACTTTCTGCATACCCTATGTTCCAGTGTCTTTCTCTGTTGTGTAGAGGTTAACTTTCTGCATACCCAATGTTCCAGTGTCTTTCTCTGTTGTGTAAAGAATCATTTTCTGCATACCCTATGTTCCAGTGTCTTTCTCTGTTGTGTAGAGGTTAACTTTCTGCATACCCTATGTTCCAGTGTCTTTCTCTGTTGTGTAGAGGTTAACTTTCTGCATACCCAATGTTCCAGTGTCTTTCTCTGTTGTGAAGAGGTTAACTTTCTGCATACCCAATGTTCCAGTGTCTTTCTCTGTTGTGTAGAGGTTAACTTCCTGCATAAACAATGTTCCAGTGTCTTTCTCTGTTGTGTAGAGGTTAACTTTCTGCATACCCAATGTTCCAGTGTCTTTCTCTGTTGTGAAGAGGTTAACTTTCTGCATACCCAATGTTCCAGTGTCTTTCTCTGTTGTGTAGAGGTTAACTTTCTGCATACCCAATGTTCCAGTGTCTTTCTCTATTGTGCAGAGGTTAGCTTTATGCATACCCAATGTTCCAGTGTCTTTCTCTGTTGTGTAGAGGTTAACTTTCTGCATACCCAATGTTCCAGTGTCTTTCTCTGTTATGTAGAGGTTAGCTTTATGCATACCCAATGTTCCAGTGTCTTTCTCTGTTGTGCAGAAGTTAACTTTCTGCGTATCCAATGTTATAGTGTCTTTCTCTGTTGTGTAGAGGTTAACTTTCTGCATACCCAATGTTCCTGTGTCTTTCTCTGTTGTATAGTAGTTAACTTTCTGCATACCCAATGTTCCATTGTCTTTCTCTGTTGTGTAGAGGTTAACTTTCTGCATACCCAATGTTCCTGTGTCTTTCTCTGTTGTATAGTAGTTAACTTTCTGCATACCCAATGTTCCATTGTCTTTCTCTGTTGTGTAGAGGTTAACTTTCTGCATACCCTATGTTCCAGTGTCTTTCTCTGTTGTGTAGAGGTTAACTTTTTGCATACCCAATGTTCCAGTGTCTTTCTCTGTTGTGTAGAGGTTAACTTTCTGCATACTCAATGTTCCAGTGTCTTTCTCTGTTGTGTAGAGGTTAACTTTCTGTATACCCAATGTTCCAGTGTCTTTCTCTGTTGTGTAGAGGTTAACTTTCTGCATACCCAATGTTCCAGTGTCTTTCTCTGTTGTGTAGATGTTAACGTTTTGCATACCCAATGTTCCAATGTCTTTTTCTGTTGTGTAGAGGTTAACGTTTCCCTTATGTTTCATTTTATTCACATATTGTATAGACACTTGTCTATTGTTAAATAGATATAAGAAGATGTGGTATGAGTGCCAATGAGACAAATCTCCATCCAAGTCAAAATTTATAAAAGTTTGTTTGTTGAGCTCTTTATTTTTGTTTTTGATTTGTTGGGTTGCTGTGTCTCATTTGAGTTTAAACCACAAGTTCTTTATCCACATTTAATTGGGTTCAATCAAGATGTTGACATCTGGTTTATTTTGGCTATTCCATAACTTACCTTGAGGCATGGCCTTTTGCCAATTGTTGAAGGTCGGACAGGACCTTTTGATTCGATAATTAGATATTCA